ATATGATCCCGTTCCAACTACATTAGATCAATGTGAAGCTAAAAACTTAAATTTTATTCTTCACTCAATGTAAAATTATTTGTATAATTAAAAAGTGCTTTTCATATATTTATTTTAAAAAACTTTTACAGAGCTAAAAATGGCAATAACACCAAACAAATTGAAGATTTCGAAGTAACCCCAAATCCATTAGTAACAACTGCCTTCACAAGTAACAGAGATTTTTCCATATTTGAAATATCTTTCTTTTGGTATAAAGGTAAGTTCAAATTTAATAATTAAAAACAAATAATTAATATTTTATAATTATATAAATTTTATATATATAGTTCTAGGTGGTTTAATTGTTTGGGTTGTGGCAATTCCTTTAAGCTACTTTTGGAAAAGAGATAAATATGAAAAAATTAATCCTAAACTATTTACACCAATTGTACGTAAATTCATTAAATTCGACACTATAGAAATGGAAGAAATGCCTTTAAAATCTCCGATTCTAAATGGCGAAAATAATGCAACAATAATTATGAGCAACGCTAAAAATGGAGGCATCGATAAAGCGCAGCATCAAAAACAAAATGGCGCCAATGGAGATGTCTAAAGCCGGCATCTACCTTCATCTCTTAGTAAATCATACATCATAAAGTGATAGACATCGTCACAATATCATGCCATAAATTTTGATTAATTTAAAATAGTTAAGTTTATTAATATAATATAAGATTCTAGTGACAATAAATTTAATGTTTGTTACTAAACACGCTTTAATATTTTTTAAGTTAATTAATTAATGTTAATATTAAATTAACACTCGTATATAACAAGGCATTTAATTTATTTTTCACAAACGTAATTATATGATGCTATATAAACATGTTATATGAATATATATGAAAAAGAAAATAATTCCATTTGCGAATAACATAAACAATAGTTTTAGAAAATAATATTAAATGAGTATTTCTTTTATTTTTCAAAATCAATAAAAGAAATTTTTTTAAAAAGAATTTAACTAATTATTTTTTTTTATTAAAATATAATAAAATCATGAGTACTTCACAGTAATAAGAATCAGAGGCATCACCTCGGAATGTAACAAAAACCAATATACAACAAACACCAAAAATGACGTCAGCCTAGAGGTTCAACGAGAAATCACTCTTGCGAACAGATGTTACTTCGGACTACATAGGCAATTGAAAAATAAAGCTCTCTCTCAACAAACAAAAATCACACTCTACAAATCTACAACTCTATTCTACAATTACCAACAGTGATGAGAAGGCGTTAGGAACATTCACTAGAAAAATTCTTCGGAAGATTTCTGATCCCTTACACGCTAGCGATGAGTTTTGAACGATGAGCTGTATGAGCTATACCGCGACGTTGACATAGCTAAGCGCATACAAATTCAGTGGTTTCGCTGGCTTGGTAATGTCGTGCGAATGGAAGAAAGTGCTCCGGTTAGAAAGGCGTTTGATTCGGTACCCGCAGGAGGAAAATGCGATAGAGAACACTTTACTAAATTGTCGATCATATTTGAATAGTCCTATTTTAAAGTGATGCCTTTCAGTTCGAAAATTTCATGTTTAAATAGGAAGTTAATAGGAAATATTCTAATTACTCAAATATAATATTAATACGTCACTCAATGTGGTCAAGTACGACTCACGTCTGTAATGGCCAACTAAGTAAGTAAAGGAAGTAATATTAACTCTAGTATAATTGACAAATAAATGTGACAAATTGTTGCAGTAGTGCCATGATCAGTCCAACTTTACTTGGCACAAATTTTTTTTAACTCGTTCTCACAATATTTATGAGCTGAAAAGCTCATCGTCCCTCTTCGATGTATGGTAGAATTTCTCATCAGCTACTTTGAAATGAAGTAAATAACCTTTTAATGCGTTTAAAATCAACGTTACTATCTTCAAATTTTATCAATCAAAAGCAGAGTATTTTTTTTTAATAATTAAACCAATACAAGAAGAGATCATATAATACAAAGTCTAGTGATGCTCCTACAAGAGATTCATAGACAAACTTCAGATAAGAAATCTGCTGTGAAATTCGGCTCCATTAATACTACAGCAATAATGATATTATAACAGCACGTGTATATATAACATCTCTATGATATATAAGATAAGAATTTTTTTGTATGAAATCATAATTTTAATAAAAAAAATCGTTTAGTATTTAAGTTAAATCAAAAATGATTTTACTTGAGTATAATTAATGCGTTCGAAGAACACATAGTAAATTAAAATCAAAAATTAAAATTTGGGTAATCGGAATAAATTTTAGAGAACTGTAATCAAATTAAAGATTTGTTAGATTAACGAACTTAAAAAATTATTTAAAAAACAAAATCAAGATTTAAAAAAAAATACGTTAAGTTTTTTAAATGAAAATATAGTTTCTTTAAATATTCAAAATGTCAAGTACGACCGAAAATATTGTGCATGTGTCAGTGACGACCGTAAAAAATATTACCTTTGGAACCACCGATTATGTCGTTTTTGTGTTATTGTTGTGCGTTTCTGCTGGTATTGGCGTATATTTCGGTTTCTTTTCGAAAGCTAAAAACACCACCGATGAATATCTGATGGGTGGAAAAAGAATGAAAACTGTACCAATCGCTATATCCTTAGTAGCAAGGTTTGTTTTTTTATATATATCTATTCTACCTATGTATCTGTCTTTTGATGTGTAAACTAATATTTCAGTTTCTTGATTTTCTGCTTTTTCTAAATTAAAATATTACAAAAGGAAATAAAAGTTATAAATAAAATTAGTTTTTCAGGAAAACATTTTTATGAAAAATTTAATATTTATATACAGATTTAAATCACTATAACAAAAATTGATGTATGGTTACATTATTTTACTATAACAAGTGCAGAGTTTTTTTTTTTTTTATTTTTAAAACCCTAAAAGATTATCTGCCTTAATATAAATAAATTGAATAACATAAGCTATAATTTATTAGTTTGTAGTTTTAATAATTTACTGTATTTTATTATTAACAAATTACAAAAAGCAAATTAAATTTCACTGAAACGGAACGATAATATTCATAGTTTAGTTAAAATCAAAAGGTGCAGCTTGTTTTTGGTTAATGTGATCTTACTTTTGTTTTCAACAATCTCAAATATTAAATTAAAATACTAAAAAATGACATAATTAACCGATCTGATTAAATGGTATCATCGCTATTCGATATCAAATGGCAAAACAACATCATTTAAACATATAATCATTTGGACTAAAAAATATCAACGACTGAATTAATGACAAAACTTCAAATATATTCGAAGTTTTAATCATTCTCTTCTAAGTAAATTTTATTCAAACTATTAGGTACCTTTTTAAAATATATTTATTCCAATAATTGATTTGTTTTCTGAAACCCAAGATTTTTTTTTAAAAACATTTTTTTTTTTTATAAATCGTTTTTTATATACTATCCTGTTAAGTAAGAATCACGCTCTTATTATTATTTTAAAATATTACTTTTTATTAAATTTATAGAACTTTTTAACATTTATGATGTGAATTAAGTGCAATAAAATAATAATTGCTTCACTAAACAAAAATTTACATTAAACTTAACTATTACGGGCTTTGTCATTTACAACAATAACGTTAACTGTCAAATTAAAGACAGAGTTGTTTTATTGAGCTTTATGTTACCACAAATTTTCTGTCAAATCGACAGAAATAGAGTCATGGTTTCCGGATAATATGTATATTATAAAAAATTTTATTTACCAAGAAACACAAATTAATTATAAGAAATATTATTTTAATATTAAATAATATTAAAAATAAAAATAATAAAACTTTCTTATTTAAAGCACGACAAGTGCTTTAGTTAGTGTGACTTAAAAAATAAAAAAGAATGATAAAAAACTTGTAGCCTTGGCTGCTTTTAGAAAAACACTATTAGTCATCTCTTCTACTTTGACAGGCATAAGTTCTAAGCCTGGCACTTATAGTCTAAACAAATTATATACGAACTATAAACTAATTAATAAAATTCGAATATCTCCAAAGACTACTGATGATGGCAATACTCGAAACAGCGTTGTATGATCAGTTCAATAAAATAACTAAAATTTTCGTTGTTATCTTTTTATTTCTATTCTAACTTCTATTCAGTCACTTTCATCAAAAAAATTAACATATAATATTTTACATTTACATTTTACGTATTTATTTTTTATAATTTATAATTATATTAAGTATAAATATTTATAAATAATATAAAAATTTGTTTGTATACTTATAGTCAGTTATCCGGTATATCTATTATGTCAATACCTGCGGAAACATACTCATATGGTAATAAGCTTCTTTTATATGTAAATATTATATATAAATTTATATCACTTGTACTATATTTGCTTACAGGATATTGTTATCTGTGATATATGATTATTGTAATTATTGAGTATAGTATATACATATATGTATATATATACAACATATATAAATGTATACGTATATATTTTTAAAAAATCAACCGTGAAATTGATTTTACTATTTGTTTTCTTTTTATTAAATGTGCTTTGGTTCTAATATCTCCTTTTTGTTTTTTAATATACTGTAAAAAATAATTATAATTCTATGGTAAAACTTAATTTGGATAGTTTAATATAGATTAATTGTTCTTTAATTGTTGTTTACTTTTTAGAAATAGTTGTCATAGATAAAATACAAGTTTACAATACGCGTGGACACATTCAAAAAGAATTCAAATCTTAACAAGAAAACAAAGAAGATAAACAAAAACATAATAATTAAACTGATTTTAATTTACCTTTGTTATTAACATATAGATTTATTCTAATAAACTTTATTTTTTTATACTGCGTTAGTTGTCAATCATTAGAGTTATTGCAATTTAACTGTAAATACATTAAATCAATAAATGCATAATAGATATTACAAGTTATTTAGTTTTTGTATTAATATTAGTATTTATTTCAATTTATATACTTTAAAAAAATCATTTTATGTTGAAGGTATCCACTATTTTATTGCGGTATTATCAATGATTATTGTTGTTCCAATATTGTGCTATATTATCATTCCGGTGTTTTATGAAAATAATATATCCAACTGTTATGAGGTAAATAACTTAGAAATAAATAAGATTCATTCAAAAATTATATAAATTCTATTTTAATATTCAGTATCTTGAAATGCGATTCAACAAGCACGTGCGTCAATTGATAACAATATCGTTTATTTTTCATTCTGCACTGATGCTTCCAGTCTACATGTTTGTTCCATCATTGGCTTTCTCCCAAGGTATGCTAAATATCAAATTATTATTATTAAAATAAAATCCAAAATTTTCTAATTTATAATAACCGTATATAAGTAAGTATTAATATTAAACTTAAGTAGAATTTAAATTTTTTATAATTTTTTTTAATTAAAGTATATTTTTGGAAGTAAATAATTCGTTTTTTGCCCTAAGCGTAATATAGCGCATCAGACAGCCGCGTAGATAGTT